TGAAGAGAAATACCTGAAGACTGTCTTCCGAAAGAACGGCTATCCAATCAACTTCATCAAAAAATACCATCCGAACACATCACCAGAAAAAAAGTCAAGTACAGAAATCGACAAAAAGATTACCCTACCATACATAAAAGGTATATCAGAAATTGCAACGAGATTGCTGAAAACCTTCGGAATAGGTGTTGCGTACAAATCAATGCATGTGGACAACTGCGGACACTCATTTGACTGGAAAAATGTGGAAATCTTACATAGAAGAAATTCCAAAAACACCAGAGAATTTTCAGAAGCTTGACACTCAGGTCAATCAACAATCAACAAGCACATTGAAATCGATCCAATTTATCAACCAATCAGGAAAAGTATGCACTAACTTAGGACCAAAAGTCAAACTAATGGGAGATACAACCAAAACAAAAAAGTGAACAATGACAGGTTTAAGGTCAACAAGAACCAGTTAACATCGAAGTCTACAGGACAAGCTGTGAGCGATATATGGAGAAATTGGAACACTTCACTTCTACCTGAAGTTTGTGCTGATGATGCCGTTCAGAAGAACGATGAAAGCTCTATAACCAAACCATGCAGCTCAGAGAACAAAACTCCATCAAAACCTACACTAAGCTTAAAATTTACAGTCTACACACATTCAAAAGATATCCATTTTGAAGTCTGAATGATAATAATTGATATGAGTAAACCTTTTACGCTCTTTCTAACAACAAAGTTAATTATTCGCACTACAACAGTAAAGATTTTCCCTAAAATCAATACAATTGAGTGGCGAAAAAATTAGTAAATATTAAGGTAGGGAGTTTTTAGTTTACATCATGGAATAATGTTAGTTGAACAATCAAAAGTTATTGGGCAACTATTCCGTTCTAGTATGGCGATCCTTAGCAGTTTCCATTGATGCCATCAGTGGGGGGTTGAAACCAGGACCCATCAATAATATTCGATGATTAGACAATATTGCGAAATGAATAAAGATAGACATGTAAGCCAGTGAAAGCTGGTTCAAAAGTCTAATGAGTGCACGCTAATCGTGAGACTTGATATGTTCTGGGTTCGACAACCGTCGGGATCGTGGATCCTCACTAGTGAGAATTCACATACCATGACGAAACAATTGTTTAATGTTCTTAACTGTTGTACACTTGAGGCCATTCCATGATGCAAACTATAAAAACAGAGATTATGCTCAGGAAACTTTTTTTAAAAGAAAAGACACTTACTTTTACAAAACTGAATACTTTTTCTTGTGAGGTACCATCTAAATCGTCGAAAAATATTCCACCAACACCACGTGTCTCACCTGACAAGGTAAGAAAGAAGGAAGACCCAATAGCCTTTAAGATACATGTTAACACTTTTGTACTATTTTTTTCTTATGGGCTATTATTACCCTATTGGTTACCTATCAATTTAATAAACAACTTTATGCTCCTGTGTTAAAGATCTACTATGAACCATAAATACAGACGTTTTGTATCCATAGTCACTTTTATTTAGCTTGAATGGTGAAGCCTTTCTCCTATTGAAGCTGTTTGAGTGTCGGATCATTGGAAAAAAGAGACATTCGTATGATTTACTATCTTGTTTTGCACATACAGAGGATATATCTGTTTTAATCCTTATAAAATAATGTGCACCCATAGTAAAACACTTGTTCATTCTGTGTTTCAATTATTTCAAACACAGGTGGGATTCGTTAGAACCTAAGCTATTCAGTCAATCGTAAGCAACGTAGAATATGAAACATTTCCATGCATCGGTTTAAGTCGTCACACCATATTAGTATAGGGATTCTGATCCACGTCAAATACAAAATCTCTAACCATTTGTTATGATAATTGCGAGGATCATAACCAGGTAGTTTGTACGACTACAACAATCAATGTATCCATGGATTGATATCACGTCTTGGTTTGACCAACTCTAGATACATTACAACCTGCCCCTACATAAAAAAACACCGAGTTTTGATGCAGGCAGTGGTTATGCATACACATAATATATACCCGAACTCCTTAGTCAATCCAGATTCACAAGTTTATCAGCCGATTTACCATGTCTGCCTACCAGCCCGCATCTAACCTCAGCATTGCTCGCCTAGTGATCCCAACATACAAGAGCGATGCCTCGTAGATATCTATGAGTGAATACCAGTGACCTACACTACCGTTGTTGCTACCTTGACGTGGTGGTCAGACTTGCCTATTGCGATGAAGCAACCGAGCAATACGGGCAGGAAAATTCGTTCCTCAAGGTTCTAACATGCCAGACAGATCGGTTGAAGACCAGTAAGACTAAAATCAGAAAGCCCAAGATCCGAAGGCGAAGTCGTACTGCTGACTGTACGGAAGTGTGATGGCAGTAAAGTGTTTCCTTCAGACAACCAGTATAACAACGATGCTGCCACTCCACAAGAAGGGGATGGTTAGAAAAGGTCTACTCTAGATATGCACACCCCACCTTATACCACGGATGTCCGTCTGCGGCGGTAAGGTCTCAATAAGTAGGGAGCTAATACGGAAATCACCCACAAAAAGTTCGCACTCAGGTCACTAAGACCACCTCTAATCCAATTTCGTTTACAAGTAACTCCAGAAGAACCCTTCCACGGTGTGGGCAACTGGGAACTGATAACCTCTTTCATACCTCTAAGAGCACTAAAGATTACTGTATTCATAATTAATCTCTCTCTTTAATTCCTATTATTCCTCCCACATCGACTTTCAACACCAAAACCCATTTTTTGCTTCGGCCTGAAGTGTCACCATAGCCAACGACTCTAGTGCGCTAAACACTATCCCAGGTCAAATGAAACATCGCGCCAGATTAAACATTTGAGCCTACGTAAAATTCGCCAGAAGACCTCGTTCGAAAGAACTACCAAGTCACCTACGGTTGATACATGCCGTGTACCTGAAACAAAAATACACGATCCTACTGTAATCATTCGACTATTAAACACACTAATCTCAGTTCAGGTGTTGACGCAGACCAGTCCCGGAGCAACCACTTGCATTTAAAAGGGGAGAAACGCATCCCAAAAATTCTGGCATCGTCGCCCAGTGCTACGAAGAGACTCTGCATTTTATCAGCGTCTTCACTAAACAGGACTATATCATCTGCTTATCCTAAGCCGATAGGTGGACCTCCTGATCATCAATGCCCGAAAATCCAGTCGACGAGAGCGTTATTTCCAGCAGTAGGTCTATGATGAAGTTAAACAAAAATGGAGATAATGGACAGCCTTGACGGATACTACTTGAGGTTGCAAAATCAAATGACAGTTCACCATAAGCTCTGACTGGACTAGTAGTGTTCGAGTAATGAGCCTTCACAAGGTTTATGTACTCCTGATGTACACCCTTCACTGCCACAGAACCTCTCGGTGTACAAGGTCAAATGCTGCTTTTAGATCAAGAAATATCATTGTCGGACGCCGATGAGCATGCCTGTGCTCTAAAAACTGACGTGACGTACAGTGAATATGTGGTCGATACAAACACGACTAGATCTGAAGCCAGTCTAAGTTTCTCGTGTTTGCAGTTCACGAGTCTTAGTTAGTGTTGTGTCTTGTGGACTGCAGATTAGAGCTAAGCGTATTTATTGATCGGACCAAAGACGCGTAAACACGTAAGAACAACCTAGAGTCCTGATTGGTCCTGCTTCACTGTCTAGCCCAGCCAGTTGAGTCCAGAACGCAAGTCTCAGCCTCTGAGATATGAATCATTATATTTCCATCATGTCGTAGTGCATAAACGCCATTTTGTCGACCCTACTACCGGCATTCATACTAACAACACTGAAGCCGTGTGGTCGAGATTGAAGGAATTTTTAAGACCGTACCACGGCTCTAGAGGACAACTATTATGGAGTCATATGGACGATGGACATACACAAGTCTATGAAGTCATTTGTACGCTCTCCAATCATCTGTATATACCGTAGTGCCCAGCTCCACGTATTCCTTTATAATTGGTATTATTGTGCTTGATTGCCGGTTCCTTACCCTCTGAAAATGTTACTTTTGCGGTGATCGATCATGAATTCCAAGTACCTGTCAAGTATATTTACGGAAGTGCTACTTACCCAATCTTCCTTTATACTACGTCCCCTGTTGTATTTTCGTTTTCTCACTACTGTTTCATCTATCTCCACAATACATCCTACTCCTCCGAATGATTGGTGTACACGTGTCATTTTAATTGCACATATGTCACGGCAATACTCATACCACCCCAAGCTCCCAAATTTGAGGAAATCCCCAAAGTTTGAGGAAGTTTCGGGGGTTTTGTGCTATTTCCCCTAAATTTACTATAGTGGCTTCCCCGAAATTGGCAGCCCGGGACTGGACTGATGAAGTTTCAGTAACATCTGCAAACGCCGCAGCCAGTGTTACTGGTGTCTTTATTATCCAATTTGCAACTATTATCATGATCTGCCTCAGTTTCAGTCGCGAAAGGTGTTGTATTCCGAGTAATGGTAATTTTTGGGATGCATTTATGGACCAATATTATGATTATATTTTTATCGGATAATTGTTATGTAACTAAACTGTTCATATTCATGTCCCTCTTATTGTGAGCTTTATTTTGACCTATGAACTATTATTATACGATTTGCCATTCATGAATTATTCCCTGTTTGTTAATCGCTACCTCCCTCATTCACGGCCACATCTGGCTAATTCTTGTACAATGTCGTTTCATATTTTATTGGTACGTTGTGGTCGGTTTGATTGGTATATAAACTCAGTATGCTTGAAATATAATGATTCATATCTCAGAGGCTGAGACCTGCGTTCTGGACTCAACTGGCTGGGCTAGACAGGGAAGCAGGACCAATCAGGACTCTAGGTTGTTCTTACGTGTTTACGCGTCTTTGGTCCGATCAATAAATACGCTTCGCTCTAATCTGCAGTCCACAAGACACAACACTAACTAAGACTCGTGAACTGCAAACACGAGAAACTTAGACTGGCTTCAGATCTAGTCGTGTTTGTATCGACCACATATTCACTATACGTCACGTCAGTTTTTAGAGCACAGGCAAGCTCATCGGCGTCCGACAATGATATTTCTTGATCTAAAAGCAGCATTTGACCTTGTACACCGAGAGGTTCTGTGGCAGTGAAGGGTGTACATCAGGAGTACATAAACCTTGTGAAGGCTCATTACTCGAACACTACTAGTCCAGTCAGAGCTTATGGTGAACTGTCATTTGATTTTGCAACCTCAAGTAGTATCCGTCAAGGCTGTCCATTATCTCCATTTTTGTTTAACTTCATCATAGACCTACTGCTGGAAATAACGCTCTCGTCGACTGGATTTTCGGGCATTGATCTCCTATCAGGAGGTCCACCTATCGGCTTAGGATACGCAGATGATATAGTCCCGTTTAGTGAAGACGCTGATAAAATGCAGAGTCTCTTCGTAGCACTGGGCGACGATGCCAGAATTTTTGGGATGCGTTTCTCCCCTTTTAAATGCAAGTGGTTGCTCCGGGACTGGTCTGCGTCAACACATGAACCAAGGATAGGGAGTGAAGTAGTCGAACGCGTTGACAACTTCACTTATCTTGGAAGTCTGATCAGCCCTAATGTGTTGGTGTCTGACGAAATCTCAGCACGGATTCGGAAAGCTCATTTGGTTTTTGCCAACTTACGTCACCTATGGCGAAGGCGAGTTATCCGTCTATTAATAAAAGGACGAGTATATTGTGTGGCAATTTGTTTCGTTCTACTTTAAGGTTGCGAAACGTGGCCATTAAGAGTTGAAGATACTTGTAAGCTACAAGTATTTGATCACAGATACCTTAGAAATATTGCTGGCATCTGCTGGAATCAACGGGTAAGTATTAGTGAGGCTAGAAGCGCAGGGTATTAGGTAGTGATGTTATATCAGTTGATGAGATTGCAACTCTTCATCGACTGAGATGGTCCGGTCACGTGTCGTGTTGCGTATGCCTGAACACCGATTACCACGACGTGCAGTGCGAACCGGTGTTGGAGATGGTTGGAAGAAAGTTAGGGGCGGGCAAACCAAAACGTGGCATCAGTGCTTGAAGTCACTAAGTTCTGGTCTGAGCCATGTTGGTAGATGCAGACTACTTGTCTGTGGTCCGCCTGACTATCGTAACCAATGGTTGGAGAAGAAGTCCAAAGAACACGTTACTCCGAGTAATGTAGACAGACATGAGAATGATGATCATGGCTCAGAATCGATCACAATGGTGTAGGTGTATACACTCACTGTCTTCCCTTAAACTAAGAGATTAAAATCGCTTCATTTCTTCTTTTCTACGTACTAAATCTTTCTTCCTGTACTATGTCCATATATTCAATCTTTCTTTTATATATTACCACCATCGAAATGACTACTTCTATGGATTTTATGTTTTTCTTGTCATGCTAATGAGGTACGGCAACTTGGACCGATGCATTTATGTGCCTGGTCCCATGTTGTAGCTGACTGACTGACTGACTAGTGACCTACGAATATCCTTTATTTCTAAAGATCACATTTCCAAACCATAAATTAGAATACCATGAACTATCATACAGTGTATTTTCTATTCGCTGGAAGACAGACATTTCGCCTACACCGTAAGTGACGAAAGTTGAGAAACTCCAACCGATCTTCCTAAGTCTGTGTCGATACTTCATCAGACACCAACCATTCAAGGTTTATGAGACTTTTAAGATAAGCTTAATGGTCAGTGTGCTAAACTATTAATTCACTCCTTATCATTAGTTTAGGCGTTGATACAGACCAGTCCTGAAGTAATACTCAAATCAAAATTCAATGTTGCGCATTATCAGTTCTAAATAATTCTTAATGTTAGTGATAAGTCCTTATCATACTACTGATATGTTTGTAACAAGCATCAGTAAATATTTACTTTAAAAAAATAACACTTACCTCGATGTGTCAGATAGAAATAATCATCACACCATTTTTTAAAACGTGGATAAAACGATTCGTTATGTTGATCACAAGCCAATTTTAACTGCTCATGAAAGTGTTTAGCATCTTCATTAAATAAGTAGTATGGAGTTAGATCTGCTCCGCCGCCATACCACCAACATTTACGATTGTTACCCAAATCAACTTCGAAGTAATTTAAATTGCGCGCGTGAGAGAGACTAATGCTGGATTTTGATTGAAATTTGGAAAGGAAGAGTAGGGCGAGCGCGGGAGGAGCGCTGTGAGAATTTAATTATTATATTTATTAATATAATGTCTTAAAAAAAAATAAAAAAAAAATTCAAAAAAAATAAAATAAAATAAAAGAAGCAGAAAAACAAATGTTATATAATAAATGTTATGAAATCTACTTATTTTACATTTATTATTTTAAGAAAAGCAGTTATAGGTTAATATTAAATGTGATGAAGTAGATAGAAATACGTGAAATTTATATAAATAGAACCAAATTTGGAGATAATAAATATCAGATATTTTTGAGGAATGTTGATTATAATTAAGTATATAAGTTATATTTTTATGTTTTTTAAGAGGAAGCGAGCGCGGATAGATAGGTTATTTTTTTAATAAATGGAATGTGTGATGTGAATTTGAACAGAATAATTGATTTTAATTTAATGTGTATGTTAATTTAAAATTAAATTATAATGGTAAGATAGGGTAGTATATAATGATTAATTTATAAATAAGATGGGTTAAGGTGTGGGTATGTAAATTAAATTTAATAATATTGTTGAAGTCTGAATAAATTGTGAAGAATTATCATAAAAAAATTATTAATTTGTAAATTAGAGGTGTATAAAAAGATTAAATTTTGCAATAGACGCATATGGAGTTATTATAGGAAGTGAATTTGTTGAATAGAATGAGAATATTTTTAATAAATATTAATAGAAACTCTATAAGAGAATATAAAAAATTTTGTAGGTGGCATAGTGTATGCGGATTATTTTTTATGAGTTTATTAGAATTGGTATTATTGATTTTGTTTAGAATTAAAGATTATTTATTTAATTTTGATTGTTTGTTTTGAATTTTTAATTTATATTGGGAATATTTTTATTATTTTTGAGGAAGATAGTTTAATAATAAATTTTTTGATAAAGAGGTTGTTTTATTTGTATTATTATATAGAAAAAAAAAGAGAAAAAGATTATGTTCACTAACAGTTTAATATACGTAAAACCGAAAAAATGAGATTTTCGATTTACTGGTCGATGTTATTTTAGATGTTATTGAGACAGGTAATAATATTGGGCAGCTATTGCATCACCGTGTTCGAAACTCCTTGACAGTATACACTGATAAACCTTCATCAGAGACCAAACTAAGAATTTTTAGATTTAGTGGTAAGCTTATTTAAATGTATAAATCACTGAGATGTGATTCAGTGGTACATTATCAACCTTAATCATGCCATTAATTGGTCATTATCAAAATGTAATTAATGATAACTGTCTCATTGAACTCTATCTATCATGACTTCTTATTACCAAAATATTGGTAATCTTGAAGTCAATTGCTATTACTCAACATATGATTACTGTTTATTTCTAAGTTTCATTCTATGTGGATGTGTATCAAAAAGTTGGCCCAAAACAAGGAAGAGATACAGTTGTTTACTACTCCATAGTTGTTGCTCATCTGAGACAAAAACTACCGTTGTATTGTAACTAATCAGAACATTTTAACACCTAACCCTAAAAGTAAACTAAACATTATTTTCAACTTACAGATATAATCTACGCTACCTATTTGGAAACAAATTACATATATTAGAATGGAAAGAAAACTGTAGTTAGGTATTCAAAAATTGTATTATAATAATAAGTGTTAGTCTGAACACATCCACTGTATCTAATTACATGTAAATCATCTGGTTGAATTAAATATGACTTTGGTGGTCTTATATCTGACTCCAATTAGATCGTATGAATGATTGCTGTCGATAAATACATCTTGACTATCGAGTTAATACGCGTTAGTGAATAACGGAATTAAATAAGTCAAATATGAGAATGAATTTCGAACACGTATATTTTGCACGATCGTTGATCGGAACAGACAATCAGAGAATCGCAGCGAACGAAGCGAAGGAGAGAGAGTCAAAAGTGAAACTAAAGGATGCGCAATGAAGAAGGCAAGTGAGCCGACTCCATTTAACCAAGCGTTAATCAATATTTATAGTCACACAAAAATAAGTTGCAGACATGTGATGAATGGAATAAAAGGGCACACATATACGCTTACATAAAAACAGTCAAGATTGATAAGTGAATAATTAACAAGGTCAAAACGTGACTCAGCAAGAACTGATAAATTGACCTGTCCAGAAGCTAGAATAAATTATTATATGGGCTTAACATAGTAACCGACATTATATGACTATCGTAGCCAATTATACGAGACGTTGAACAACATATCTCAGAATCAGTCACACAGCTTGGATGTACTCACTCTTTGACGTCAAAATACTCACACCATTCATTGCACAAATTGATTGTTCTTCTTGAATCATATTATTATCACCGATACTACTATCACTTCTACTACTCTAGTATTTGTCTTAATAATTTGATTACTCTTTGTTGATGCGATGTGGTAACTTGAAGCAATGCATATATATGTGGCAGGTTCAATGTCACTCATAACTAAATGGATACATTTAACATGCTTCTGTAAAAAGACGCATAAATGTAAGGGTATATGGATTTGAAAATGGGAGCATGCGATGCAGAGATAAAGAAACTAATTAATCTGTAAAACCAGTGGAAAACATTCTTGCAGAGATTATTCTGAAAGTATGCGATAATATCATGGATAAGCATACATAAAGTTAGTTAGCAGAATAAATAAGTTCATTCAATAATGAGAGTCGAGAATTTCATGTATAAAAGCAATAAGGCTTACCACTAATACTGAGTCCGTTGTTAAATAGGCGTTTCAAATTAAAAATAAACTGAATTTTTCCTGAAGTTGGCTGAGAATTTACTTTAGTATTCTCCAAAGTTTGAGGTGTGGAACAGAACTGTACACTGCCTCCTCCACCTCCGAAAACCAAAGTTTCACACATCAAACCAACCTATTTTAAACAAACATTGAAAGCCAGGAAACATTGGACGGATATCTCGTCTTTGCATGAAACTCCCCTGCAATGAGTACCCGCAGCTCCAATAAGGTTTGAACCCAAGCACTTTAGCCTAACCTTCAGATCACTGGTTTACCATCCAGTGGCTTACATTTCTAACTCTAAACAAATCGTGATATTTCAAGACATTCCTGCGTTGCCACTAGAGAAATCTATCACACACCCAACATGTAGTCAAGCTCCCCTGACAACAGCTTTTCATTAGAATTGATGGTTGTTTAGCATTGCCAATTGACCAAAGTTAGAAAATGCAAGTCACTGAATGCCAGCTAAGTGATCTAAAGGTTGCATGCACTTGGTGCGATGTTTGAAGGTTCTGGACGTCTCATCTCTGATAAAATGCTGGATGTGCACAACTAAGTCTCCCATAAGAACGAAGTAGTCGCTCAATATTCCCTAGTCTTCAGTGGTTATCTGATCAACAATCAAATCCAACATTCTCCACAATACCGTATAGTAATTATTATGAAATCACAGAATATAAAAAACAACTTTTACATTTGACAAATAAAAACCAAAAGAATCCTGTTAAAATAATACAATTAAGAATTATGAAAAAGAGATCAGAGAAACAAACAGCTAACCTTGCACGCATTTCTTTCACAGCTTGAGCGCTAAGGTTCCCACTTATCACACTGATGTTTACACCAGCCTTTTCAAAAACATCACCATTCTCTAGAACACATGAAATTCCGCCACCACCCTATTTACGAGAAAAAAAGTGTACATATATATGGAGAGAGGGGTTACAACGGATGTTTGCAATTGTACTAAAAATACTGACAGATAGTGTTAGGATATCCGGAAAAATATACCAATAATTAGCATGTTAAGTCTAATAGTGTCCTTGGACTTTAAATGGACATCGCCTATTGGTCAATATTTATTTCACTTGTTAAATATTGTACAAATGTTGTTTTTTATTTTACGGTACGATGTGGTTTGTTTGGTTGGTATATAAACAGAGTCTGTCTGAAATATAATGATTCATATCTCAGAGGTTGAAACTTGCGTTCTGGACTCAACTGGCTGGGCTAGACAGCGAAGCAGGGCCAATCGGGACTCTAGGTCGTTCGTACGTGTTTGCGCGTCTTTGGTCCGATCGACTTAGCAAACGTGTTCTAATGTCACTGAACTTCTGCGATTGAAGACTGCAGATGAGAATGAGTGCTTTAAATTGGTCTTCAGTAAGTGACTTCAACCGGAAGCGTTCACATTCTCGGTTGACGATACCCACATGTGTGAAAAAATTATCATCTTCGTTCATAGTGAGCTTCAAACATCGATAGCGCGCATTGAATAGTGAGGAGTTGTCTTCGAATTGTTGGCTCAATGACTAGATCGATAATTCGCTGACCTCAAATCTGCAGCATCACAGTCATGACAGATAGATATGCTGAACTTTGAAAAATCATATAAGGTTCTGTAAAATCTCTTGTATGAATTTCGGCGACACTATAGGGTTGACCAACTTAAAGTAAATGGATTATGGTTTTAAACTTGTAATACTGGTCAAAAATGTCGATCAATTGATTGGTTCAATCATGCATCTTAAACTTATCCCATGTATACACATGCCTCTCTCTAGCCTTTTGAAGAAAGAACGAACAAAGATTTAAGTAGAATAACATGATTCTATTTTATTTTGTTCGGTTCTTGTTAGTTGCTTACAAAAACTTTCAATATTTAGAAATCTTAACTAGAAAATGGGTTGAAACTGTTTACATAAACATGTTTAGTTGGAGGAAGTGCTAAACACACATTGATATAGAGTATAGTAAGAATGTGAGGAAATTCAATAAATTCACATCTTACTTGGAAGAACATATGTTCCTCCATATCTCCATCCAGTTTAAAAAAGCAGGTATTTGAAAGAATAGTCTTTTCAATATGTTCTCATCGCATTCTACGGTTAAAATCTAAATCAATGTCCTGAAGAGGATAGCCAGGTTTAAGGCAAATACATAATTTAAAATGAACGTTTATGAAAGTTTGGATTGTTAGTGGAAATAAAATAGAATTGTTATCATTGAAATAACTAATACGTCAATGCTGAAACGACTAATGTATAGTGTTAAACTAGTTTATATAATCATTGTAATCGTGAGATTAACAATACAAGTAGATATAAATAACACTGAGAAACAACAATATAACTATAAATCAGAATGAATATTGACCATAAATTACGTAATATATAGAATGATATGAATTGGGTGAGAGATAATAACTTGGAGTGGGATGCTAATTCAGACTGGAAAGGACACCTGATCAAGATATCAAAAGAAAAGATATCTGAGCAAGCGTGAGAACTACAGAGGCATCACTATTCTATCGTTAATTCAATTTTTCAAACGCTTAGCAGAGTCATGATCATAATAATATAAGTGAACAGGGTAGGTTTAAAGCATGGAAATGTAGAAAGAGAAAGGTTGTAAGTAGACTAATCACATATTACTATTTCGATAAAATGACTAGTAAGTTATTGGGTTTGAAGTCGCCCAAGGCGAGGGGTCAGACATATTTCTTCTAAACTCAAAGCTGAGGCTTTTTAGCCTGAATAGCTATTGCTTCGACGGTGTGTAAAATTCCTAGTCTGACGGATATAAGCAGATAACTATTAACACCGTAAATGACTGATCGGCGTTGGCTGTATGGCCCGTTTGTACAAAATGTTAACTATAGCCCTGCTTAACAACGAAGGGGTGTTGACGAGCACAAAAGTACAAATTCCTGAAACATTTATCAATATAACTTGCTCCACAAGAGTAAATAAGTTGATAGACGTAGGAAAAGCTGGTTAGTGCAGGTAATTTACTTTTTTAATTTCGGAGTAAACATAGAACGTGTAGAAAACACTAATTTGTAGTTTACCTGCATTGAATGCTTTTTAAATTGTTCTGCGCAATTTTAACATTAACATTTCTCTGAGTGTGTACCATAAACAGCATAAACGGGGACATTTTACTTGCCGTTAGGACTAAATCCTCATTTATGAGTCTCTCCCAGTACCTGTTTTCCTTTAGGGTATTACACAGTACAGTTGTTCACTCTACAATTATAATGAAATGCACCAACTACAATTCGTTTATATTGTAGAGAAACGAAACTAGCGAAACTTGTTTACTCCTCCATCCAAGTAGTTCTCTTGTTCAAGTTTCTTTATAATGACCCATTTACTCTTTCTGTAAATAGGATACCTAGAAGGGTTATTATGCACCTATTTTTTCCCGCATGTAAATTTAGGAGGGTGAACTTCACCAAATCTTTGAATGCCTACCAGGTCAATATAGTCTTTACAAAGGATCAACACAGAATTCACATTTCGGCAGCAAAATTTTCCAGTGAACCATTCTCTAGCTTATCTAGAAAAAAGCCAGCTAATATGAGACACAATGATGAAACTATTGCGACACCTATTTGTCCACATATTTTCCTGTTGAATATGAATTTTACATTCATGGTGTATTTTAATGATCTCTTCTATAATATGCACTGAAATCACAGTTTCTGCCGTGTTCTGTATTCACCTGACATGATTTATGAGTTGTTTGAAAAACTCGGAGGTTAATCAACACAGTTATAAACTTAACAATATTTATAAACAAGTGGAACGTCGGATTAGCAGTCTAAAGTATTTGGTTTTTGATTACTGAATTACAGGCACTTATTCAACTCTATTCAGTTTGGTCTAGGCAATGAGTTGGTTGGTATTACTAACTTACATATGTACAGAAAAGTGGGACTCAAAAACGAAGTGCATGGATCTTCACCGACTGACGACTGTATAGTGAATTCCGGTTTGCTACTTAAGGTGTGGAAATCACTCAATGAGTTTTAGGTAAGAAATGGTTCTCCGCCTATTACGGTTTGAACAACCGGTAAGTGTCAAACTTAAGTTCACAGGCCTTTACCCGGTAAATGAATCGGATATAAACTAAGCTTGAAAATGGAAAACAGAATATCATAACTTACAGCACGACGTTCCCATTTGTCCACTTTGAACTTGGCTTTCCCATCAATCTTTTCAACTTCCTTACACAAGCGACCCTTGAATAAAGAATAAGCAGACAAGTATACAAAACTCAAGGAGGAGCAGTTAAAAAGAGATTAGAAGAGAATGATTAGAAATAAACAATTAAACGAAGCACAACTTAAATGAATACATTTTTCAAAAATGTAACTGTATTCAAGTCCAAACGTCTTACAACCGACTAACTCCTCAAAAGAGATTGTAACAATAAGCTGTTTTAATAAAATTAAGACACATGAATATAGGAGTGAGATTTATGAGTTACCGAAATTTACAATAGATTAAGAACATATTTCAGATTACAGATAATGATGTGAATAACGTTTACATATGAAAGAATCAGAGCACCAGAGTCATCACCAATCATAATTTAGACTTTTTAGTTTTTATTACAGTGACAATGCTGAAAACTAAATCTACGTAAGGTCAAAACTTAAGCAGGCAACAAAAGAAAAGTAAATAATTCATGCATATGTCCAAATAACCCTAGCAACTTGTCTGTTATCTAAAAGATTATAGAAAAAAAAACAAATAAAACGTTTAGTATATAACTAACTACCAAAACATAAAAATCAGTCTGTATGAGTAACTGCTTATTACACGTTATGAAATTCAGTCACGTAGAACTATCTTTTTGTGAATTAAATTCACTGATCTGTGATTATCTAACTGTGACAGACATTACATTACATTACATTACATTGCATATGAAGACGAGTTAAAAACGAGTGCACACTAGCGAGTCATAAATAGATTGCTACACATCAACGTGACATTCTCCAAACGTTGAGGGGATATAATTAAAAATTTACATGGTGAGACTATAATTTATGGACGACCTTTGAGCGACGCTGAAGTGGCCTTGAGAGTGGACGCCTACTGAATAGGACTAAATGAGAGTTATAAAGCAGTTAGAATTCTCATTTACAGTTGATGGTTAGAGTTAGAAGTTGGATTTAGGGTTTTTATTACGAAATGACACCACCTATTATGCCATAACTCTATTTAGCCAAATATATAGATGAACTACGCGCCCATATATTAGTCTCGCCAGGTAGGGTAATGAACGCCACACACCAATAAATTGATAACGATACAGTCTAAAGCATAGCATATTTGAAAGATAATCTCACTTGGAGTTCCATGCACAACACTTCCATTTTTGAGCGATAACATTCATCACCTGACTGCAGAAATATTTAACACTTTATAGAAGTCTACCTGTAACTTGTCGACTGCAGAAACAGGCAAGCACATCCAGTTATTTAGATTTATTTCAGGAAACTTGGTAACAAATGGTACGCTAGCGCAGGAAACGGAGAAGGATTTATTACATAGGCCCACAATGCTGGTGTCAGCAAGAGACCATCGACCTCCAACCAAGAAGGCAGAAGCACTAAGAACAAAAAGAGTGTTATGAACAATAAAATGTACCCTAGTGCATAAACACAGCATTTAAAGAACCGTTGGGTTTTGGAACGATACAGGAACGACACACCCATATCCGCAACGTGAATCTCAAATAAAGCGGCTTCGTAGCTTAGTGAATAATTGTTTCATATCCATATGGGTTCAAATAAGATAATGGGCAAAAAATAGAGTATTATGTGATAGATATATAATATTTATGACAGACGTAATATTATTACGGGTAAAGTGCTAGTGTAAAGAAACGACATCTCATCGCATGTGAGGGAATTAAAAAACAAATGTCGTCTTCCCTTTGGTATTCCCTAGTTTGGGAAAGCGAAACTGATGACTGTCTTCTTATTTGCTAAAGTGACCTTTAAGGGACTTATGTAATGGACTGTGGTAGCGTGAACCGGAGAATCACCCTAGGTCGCCGTTAACTCTAAAGGACAGAACATTGAAAATGATTAACATTATCCTATCGAGTGAACAATTTTTGGTATTACTCACATTTTTCGTCATTTCCCCTACTTCACACACCCCTTGTCTACAAAACTGTTGTTTAAACTTTGGAAATGACGTCATCATTGACAGTCTGTTTTCTACATGGTTGTCACTAATTATCACTGACAATCGCATTACGGCATCTACACTGCTTGTTCCCATTTAATAGGCTGTAAAATTGAATGATCACTAAAATAATTGTCATAAATGTTTGATGATAACAGTTGAGTCCTCGTTGCTGAGTTATTACTGACAGCATTTACTTTGGATTTCATACCCTATATGAAATCATTGATTATTCAATAAAATTGCTGATTCAGCGATCGAAACAACGAACGCCCTACACTTATTAACAAAACTACCGTCCAAAGTATCCATCTGTTTACTGAGAGTTTGTATATTATTGACTGAATATAATTTTTTTAGGCAACGTTTCCAGCACCTCGGAATTAACACGTAGTGGTAAATAAATCCCACAAATCACCTAACCGCAACAGGTTGTAGAGTGGCGTCGAGTCGCGGTTGACTATGAACACCGCTACAAAGAAACACGTGCCAAATAAATCAGAAGGCGTGGGTTGAACGTAACCAAATAAATACATAAAATCCCCGAGAAGCCAAATACCAAAAGGCAAGTAAGGGACCAAGTCGAGTTATATTTGCTGGCGATCTCGTGGCATCGAGAGGATACCGAGATCGTGCCAGGATACAAGCTTGGTTAAAGGTAACCGAATTCGCGCGAAGTTACAATCGAAGTGTAAGTAAAAAAATGGAAGCACAAAATAGCTGTCATTAGCACAGTCAAACAAAAGCACATTAAAACAGTCACTGGTACACTTGGTTATAATAATAAGCGTTTTTATTAAACCAGTCGTGTTCTCGTGATAAATGTGAGTCACTACAAGGTCATGAGTTGGTAGACGTGCTACTCATCCCTTGCAACTATTAACCAACCTCTTCGCATATCGATAGCTTTACAATTATATCTTGTAATCTCTTCATTACTGACCTCTGATTTCACTGGATTGGTATACTTTGATTATAAGTGTGTTACTTGTCAAATGGTTGTCGAACTCCGAACACCTGTGGTGCCTTTCACCATTTATTGTCTGCTGCATGAATACCTCGTTAGAATCTTCTAACCATTTGGCATTTCAGAATTCCTATCAGCTCTTCTTTTATCCATTTTTCAGCTAACAATTTAACCTGCATGCTGCTTCATCCTGCGTATGTGGCATTCTAAGCCAGCCAGGGGTTTTATGAACTTTCTATGTGCTTAAGCTGTTTATAGCTTTGGTAATTACATTCATGTGTGTTTTATGTATACTTGTCTCATATGTCTGTTGTCTGTACATGCTATCTGTAATTTATGCATTATTCAACTTACACTAAAACAGAGTCATCCTTTAATTACTCAGTAAGTCAATACTGTCACTCCACTTCGCATCTATTTCTTTTCGTTTGTCTACCGAACAAATTCACTGAAAAACATGCACATCTTCAATTATCTCAGATTTCATCTTATTTCTACGTCAAATTCACATGATTATTCGACAGAAGATATACTGGTTTAATTAGGATAAGTTTATCGTGAACATCAACGCTATTATCATCATGGAGTTGAATACGGTTGGCTCAAACTGTCTGCTCAATATAACATAATTCCAGAAGTAAATGAGTTTGAAGGAATACAGACTTTAAATAATAAGAAAGCTTGAATAGTAATGAGGATAGAGGTATTGTACAAGTAATGAGGGAAAGAAAATAAGCAGAAAACACAGTATAACCAAAACGAAAGCTAACATTTGCAATTTATTTTTAATCTAACCACAGCTTCTCAGAGACGTCTGTGGTTTTCTACTGTCATTATTATGATTATTACTAACAAACATCTTATGGGTATATAAGTGTTGTGAAGAAACCATTTCGGGTTTCTTCAAAAATGCATTAATACACAATTTTCAATAATGTTAGCATTATATTTGCCATATTCGAAAAAGAGAATAATAATAATGGAATAATAATAATCATAAATCAGGTTTGTGTAATTGAGAAGAATATTGAATTGAGTTTAAAGAAGAAATGACGAAAATAAGAAAATGGAAATAAAGGAGACGTGAAATACCCAAATAGTTTAATAGGCGTGTTTATGAACATAGAACAAGAATAAACAACTATGTATGTATCGTCATATTAGTAAAAAAATAAAATATATAATAATTAAGAAGAAAAAACTTATTATTGCAGTAAGATATGACGCCAGAATAAGTGTTCGTGCAGTCATATTTTGGAGTGATGCTATAAAAGTCACAATTAAGTGAAAAGGATAACCAGATATCAATATATATGAGTCATATATGCATAGTGAATATAAAACGAGTCTGAGAAGTTAATTTACGTGCCATCTTAAGAATAATATTTATTTAAAAAGAAAAGAGAGAAAAGAAATGGACACCTAGTGAAAGGGTTAAACCATGACAATAATAATAATTGTACAATAAATATCGACCTTTGAAGTAGACCAAAAATTAAAAATAAAATAAGATTCTGAACCGGGTTTTAGGTTCACTGCAACGGAGGTTCACTGGCAGTCCGTTTTACACGGTTGAGTAGCTCAAACTCTTGCCATATCTTAAATCCGAATCACGAACAGTATTCATAGGTTTCAGCGTATGTTTGTGTATAGCCAGATTTAGGTCAAGGCAGTGGCCAATGTGAGCAAATCCACTTTTGTCAACACTAAGTGGCGAATCCACCAAACAGTTCATTCGTATAACTTGTTTATTTCTTCTTGGATTAACACTGAAATATAGATTTCTTTTGTTGGAAAAGAGAATAAATAAACTACTTTCAAGTCATTGGCAAAAAGGAAAGGTTTACCATACTGAAAGAGGGGACACATGTGATTGATAAAAGGAGAAAGCGTAATGGACCAATCACACTTCCTTGTATAACCCCACTGGTTACATCCACAGGTTTAGAGTAGCAAGATCCAAAAAGAATGAGTTGGCCACGTTCTTGTAAAAAGGATTTGAGCCAAGAAGAAAGAGGATTCTGTATGCCACCTGAAGAGAGTCTAGAAGAAGACGTTTGTGTGAGACACTGTCGAAAGCCTTACTAAAATCGAAGTAAAGAATTATCACTGACTGAAGAACATCTCTTCTCAGGGTAATTTGGTCAAAAAATTACAGGTTCGATATGAAACATGAGGGTTCAGTCATAAATCTGTATTGGGACAAGCCGAAAATAAAAATGTTAATAGCTTTTTGTGGATGATATTTTCTATGGTTCTTGATAACACGAATGTCGACTTTATTGGCCTATAGTTAACAATATCACTACGTGATCCTGTTTTGACTCTGGGGGTGATAAGTGATGTTTTCCATAAAGATGGATAGGCCCCATATTCCACAGAATAAATTAAAAGTTTCAAACAAAGTAGTGGAAAATCTCTACTACCATGTTACACAAGCGATGGAGGGATCCCGTCAGGTCCACAATCAAAGACTTTTTCAGGGCAGCTATGGCCTGTTTGATGTTGGAGGGTATGAACTCGATTTTCGATAGGTGTCTGGATGTCGGAACTCCGCCTGGAGTCCCTCCGGGGGCTAATGCCGGTCCCAAGCCCGTATAAAGGGAAAGGGTCAGGCATGGGTTTAGCGACCCCATACCGTAGAAAACTAACTCGCTAAAAAAACGCTAACCAGAAAAAAATTATTCAAACCATTTAAGCTCTGCCTTGGGAGTCAGAAGGTCTTCATTTAGAAGAGTTATGACGCCTCATGATGAAGGCCGAGTTCTTTCGTAAGTCACGAGGCCGATGCCCCTTCTGATAACCACAGCAACCATTTATTTAGGTAGATAGAATGCTCATACAGTGTGGGAGACCGGCAGAGTCTTCCAAATTACTGCGGAAATGAGGAGATACAACCTAGAGGTGCTTGGGATCAGTGAAACACATTGAACGCAAGTTGGACAACAACAACTAGCTTCAGGAGAGCTTCTGTTATATTCCGGCCATGAAGAAGAAAATACCCCACATACACAAGTTGTATTGATGCTGTCCAAACTAGCAGAAAAAAGGAACTTGGCCCACCAACGACTGAAGAATTCGACATGGCCATCAGAGAAATCGGGAGCAGCAAACAACAGGACCAGACAACATCCCAGCAGAGGCACTGAAAGCAGACGTAGCGGTAACCGCAAAGATACTCCATATTCTCTTCAATAAGATTTGGGATGAGGA